GTTCAAAGCCTTGCTGGGAACGGGTGGGAGAAAGGGCAGCTTTGAGAATGTTTCAGCACAGGGCTGGGAGTCCCTTGCCTTTTAAAAGTGATAGCCAAGCAAAACTAATTGAGAACTGTTCTTTCCTTGTCTGCGCTCACTTTATGATTTTCTCTAAGTAAGACTTCAAGGAAATTATTTCTAATTACTTTACACACATACCCCACTTGAAAATAAACTATTTTGTATGCAGATTTTTAAAGTTCTAAGTCTTTGAATCCCACTTTAAAGAATGCTTTGGGGCCAGGGATGTAGTTCAGGGTACAGTGTTTGCCTAGCATGGCCTAGGTCCTGGCTTTGACTCCCCAGCACTGTTTTTGAAAATGCTGCTTTAGCTATCAAAAGATTTGATATAAAATTCCTTTAATAATAAGAAAAACTCCCTGGCACATGGGAGGTCATTATTCAACTTCATGTACACAACTTCCCAAACACGCAGAGCATGTAATTCATTGTCTGGTGGTGGAGTCTGTTTCTCATGTGTCTTAATCTGAACATGTAACTCTTGACTCTTACAAACCTGTGATGAATTTTCTGGATTTCTGTCTTTGCAGAGTCATCAGCATATAATAAGACTCTGTTCCTTGGTTGAATGACCAAGTTAGGGATTGCATTTTAAGCATGAGGAAACAATTTTTTTTTCTCCCTTGTCGCATTCCTTTCTAAAAGATTGCTCAAAGTGGTGCTTAAAAGATAATTCTAGCTTGCTAAATTTAGGGTGTGGATAAAGTCCAAAACGAGAATACTCCATTGGTAATTGTGCAAGACATGTTAATATGTAGGGCAAGGGAGGGTATCTCAAACTCCTAATGATTTTTTCCCTCCCTCCTTCTCTGACACACAACATGTAATTTAACAAGATTCAAAGTGAACCGGGTCAGTGACAAGCTTTTTACCATCATGACTGCATTTTAAATATAAAACAAGGGGAGTTTTAGATATAAAATATGGTTTAGTGGTACAGTACATGCTTAGTATGCGCTAACTCTTGGCTTCAATTCCTAGCCCTATAAAGAAGTAAATAAATGATTTCATATTTGAGATGTTCTACAAAAGCACCTTGAAGCCAGAGATATTCTCAAAATCAGCAAGTTATTTCATTATTTTTGTAGTACTAGGATGTAAAATGTAGGGCACTGGGCAATGCTAGGGAAGTTTACTACTAAACTTCATTATCAGCCTTTGAGTTTTTGGTCACTTTGTATCAAAGGCTGGCCTGGAAATCCTGGTCCTCCCCGAAGAGTCTCCAAGAATGCTGGCTTTACAAAGGTACATTACTGGGCCTAGCTTGCTTACCTTTGTGTTTAAGATATTGTTCAGGTCATTGTCAGTCTACTGTCCAAACAAAACAAAACAAAACAAAACAAACAATAAAAGCAGCAGCAGGGGCTGGAGAGATGGCTCAGCGGTTAAGGGCTCTTCCAGAGGTCCTGAGTTCAATTCCCAGCAACCACATCCCAACCATCTGTAATGAGATCTGGTGCCCTCATCTGGTGTGCAGGCACACATGCAATGTAGACAGAGCACTGTATACATAATAAAGTAGCAGCAGCTCCCTGTACAAACTGGTACAAGAAGTGTACAGTTATCTGTATCCTGCTTTGAAATGCATTAAAACCATATTGATGATGGAAATATGTGATAAAGCAGATGTAGCAACATGTTCTTGGAATAATTCAAGTGGTTCACTCTACAACCTTCTTGCTATAAAAGGATGAAGGAGGCAGGGTACCACACATATTTACTTCCCAGGTAGGACTACCGAGTTGGTGCCGGACAGGGCAGTCATGGGGCCCTAGATGTCTTCAACTTTGGACATGTCATTAAACTCCTCACCTTCCAACCTGGCCCCAAATGACAGGCTGGTGGTAGTAGTAAGGCCTTTGGGGGCACAAAAGACAATCCAGGGTTAACAAATACAGAAGGATGGAGTAGAGGGTTTTGATCTCTGGGACATGTTGCAGTTTCAAAGTGAAATGTCCCCGACAGGTTCACATGTTGAACATTTTATACCCCAGTCAATACTGCTGTTTGAAGAGGTTATAGAACCTTTAGATGGAGACCTAGCTGGAAAGGTGGTAGGCCTTGAGGTTTTATAGTATGGACCTGCTTCCTGTCTTAATGTAACCAGTTGACACCAACTGTTACCACCACAAAGCCTTTCAGCACCATGCCTTTCTGACAAGGGTGGGCTGCATGCATCTCTCAAACCATGCAGGCAGAATCATTTCCTCCTTTGCGATGCGTCTTGTTGGGCATCTGATCACAGCAATGAGAACCTGATAGCAATGCAGACAGGATGTGCTCTCACCATCTCAGAAAGGAAATGGGCGTGGCTTACAGCAAAAGCGGCTTGCAAAAGGCCACTGGTGGCTTGCTTGTTCTTTGGTCTTCAAACCTCCAGATAGGATTCTTCAGTTTCTTGCTCTCTGGGTATTTTTATTTAGTGGGCACTGGAGACAGACTCTAGGGTCTTGCTCATTCTAAGTAAGTGCTCCCTGACCAAGGACACCCCCAAACCCTCCACGGGAGTTTTAAAGCCATCCCTGGCTTCCTATAGACATAAAACCTGAGTCAACCCAACAGAGATTTAAATGTTGAAAGGAGCAAAGAAAACAATCCCCTGGCATTTAGTTTATTCTTTCATTTTGGACTTGAGTTCCAAGAGTTTCTCTGCTTATCGGCCTCTTTATGCGTTTTTTTTTTTTTAATTTTCCAGTCATCACAAATGTTTTTTATGTTTTTGAGGATATCAGCACCTTCTTGAGACACAATGCTTATTCACTGAACATTTAGAACTCGGAGACAGTCTCTGTGGGGATTCACGCCATCATTTAGACATAAACGCTTAGCAATTCCTGTTTTTTTTTTTTTGTTTGTTTTCCATTCATGGTAACAGCAGCTCATCTGGAGAATGCTACAATGATATGGTATTCTTAGTACTATTAGACAATAGGCATAGATGAAGAAAAGTGTGCAATACTTTGTAAGAGGTCATGACTGAGAACACTCAGTAGCCAAATGTCCCCCATGTCTCCTGGTGCTGGTGGCGCTCCCCCACCCCCAGCTATTCCTCCACAGAGCACAAATGATGGTCTCTTGATGAGCTGTCACAGAGGGAAAGAACCAAAGCACAAAGGGGACATTCGATGTCTTCCCATCAGAAAGGAAACGGGCACGGCTTTTAATTTCTTACACTGGATCAGTTGCAATCCAGTCCTATCAAGTGGATAAACACTAAACAGCTTAGTCTGTTGCAAATTTGGACAAGCTTGTATAACTGGTCACTTTGTCCTTGTTTCCTACTCGATCACATTTGTCCCTCTGAGAGTGACACGGTGAGGACGGTGAAGATGTCAGTATGATGCTCAAAGAGGAGACAATGGAATGGAAGGCAGATGATGGGTAAGGAGTAAAAATGTCAAAACTGAGGAATAAAAGACTAGTGAAAATGGGGAAAGCCCTGGTTGGGGTTGGGTAGGAACTACCATGAGGAAAGGAAAGACAGTACTTTCCTTTTAAACCAGAGTCTATCTATATAGCCCAGCTATATATTTGACTACTTACATGGCTGTCCTGGAACTATGTGGGCAGGCTCGCCTCTGCCTCCCAGGTGCTAGGATTAAAGGTGTGTGCCACCATGTCCTGCCCAAGGTGGCATACTTTTAAACTCACCCAATCTTACACTGAATTTCAAATTCTGCCCTAAAAGAGCTCTTTACTCCTCATTTCAGTGACCCATTTTGTAAGTGATGGTTCTATTTAAGACTTAAGTCAGCCACCATGAAATTAAAACACACAAGCCCCTAAATTAAAACAAAAACAAAAACCATAAATTGCAAGACCCTGCCATGCTCCTAATAATGGCAAGGGTGTTCATCCTGGGACTATGAGGTTTTTTTTGTCTTCTCTGGCTGCATCAGGCTCGACAGCACCTTGTCCTTTGAAAGTCTTCAGCATCATCTGCTTTTGAAACGGTGTGGGCGATGCAGCTGGCATTGAACTTGGATCTCTGGGGTTTGTGTGTTAGCCTTGACACTTAAGTATTTAGTTATGGGAGCACTGCTTGTTTTTAACATCCTAATCCTAAATTCAGTGTGTTCAGAATGTATGCAGAAAAGCAAGCAAAATATCTTTTCTTGGGGAAAAAAAAAAAAAGCAAAATGAAAACCCCAGGTTACTGAAGCTGGTGTGTATGGTCACGACACAACTTCCTTTGATCTTTTTCCCTTTCAGATACACTCAGGGTGGAAGTTCTTTGTTAATATCAATAGGACTGGGCATGTTGCAGCTGCCTGTGACTTTGCAGGACTGAGGAGAAAATAATCAGCTTAGTTCTCAGATGGTGCTTAGTGGTTTGTGATTTTAAGTTTTATCTACATAAACCTGAGGGGGCTTACTGTCTATCAAATCCTTCGTTCCTGGCCTCCACCCAGTACTTATCCCCCCCCCCCCCCCCCCCCCCCCCCCCCCCCCCCCCCCGCTTCCCACCCTACTGCCCTTCCCCACATTAGCTTCATATAGAATGCACTCTCTGGTCCCCAATAGTCTGGCGAGTCACGGTAAATGGCCACATTACAGTTCTCAAGGTTGGGTATCATGTCCTGGCACATACTCCTGCTGTTGCTCTCTCTCAGCTGAGTAAAGATCCCTGCCATATGCTCTACCCAAACATAATGCTCACACCATTTCCCCAAGGTCAGGATTTTCCTGTTAAGCGGTCGATCTGGGTAGCAGGTGTTCTAGAAAGGCTGAACTAAGTAACAAGACTTCACCAATGACTGTGTGAATTGGGGATAGATTCTCTAACTGTGCTCAGCTGCTGACAATCCAGTCAGCCAAACAGTATCGTTTTCCCTTCTGTGCACTTGGGAAATACAGACGGTAGTACTTCAACGTAACTGAATGGAAGCGCTGGGAATAAAGGTATCCCTCCCCACATCATTTTGACCTCAGAATACTGATTTAAAACCTGTGAAACATGTATTATGCTAACGTTTTCATCTGGATGCTAACACTGACAAATTCTCCTGACAGCAAGGAGAGACGGTGAGGCAGGAGATGCAAAACCAACATGATCACTTTCCCCACCATATTCCAGCGATGCCTCCACCAGTGGCAGGATGGGAAGAGAGGCTGAAATGGGCTGAGAAAATACATCTTATTTCTCAATACTCACTAACATTGCTAGAAGAGGCTATGGTGACTCAGTGGAGAGATCAGGTCCCATAAGGCTGGCACCACAAGCAATGGCTACTTAATGTGAAGAATAAGGGCATCTTCCTGCAGAGGACCCCATATTCAGGTACCCAGGTATACCTTGGTACTGTCCAGTCTCCATAAGACAATGGCTGGGTAAGAGGACACAACACCCACTCTAGGTGGCTGGTACCTGATGGATAGCTCCTGTACATTCGGTATCAAAACTCTATACTGGGCTCAGCAAATGGCTTTTCTGTTCTTAGCACCCAAGGAATATTGCCTGCTTGACTGGCATTGATCTGTGCTACCAAGCATGGGCAACCAGGGTGTAGCTACTTTATACTTAGGAAGGGCATTCCCAACATCATCTCATTCTGTACGCACTCACTGTGATGCAGCAACCCTTGGGAAACTGGCAAGGCAAAGTTGGAGAACATAGCTAGACGATCAGGATGCACACAGGGCCCTAAGTTGCTACCATGTAGAATTCTAGATGGAGTGTAAGAGGCTATGATATGCCAGTCAGGGTGTCAGGGACTAGTAAAGAGATGGGGCATTGGGTAGCTACGTGGACCTTTGAGGTTGCAAGGTCATGAGCAGTCAATTTAAAGGTAGAATCCTACAGGTTCCAAGTCTTAGTTGGTGAATGACACTTGAAAATATTGACTTTAAAGTGTTTCTGAACCTTCTGATGATTGATCCTGGCTTCATCAGGTCTTATTTCACACTGGTGTTCAACAGTTAATCCTTTGTCTTTTTCATTGCCGGAAATTGAACCCAGGTCCAGGTCCTTGAGCATGCTAACCAAGCACACCATCACTGAGCTACATGCCCAGTTCTCAATTATTACTATTATTATTATTTTAAAAGGATTAGAAACTGAGCTACATGCCCAGTCCTCAGTTCTTTTCTTTCTTTCTTTTTTTAAAGATTAGAAATGTCAAGTACACTCTGACTTGGGAAGGAGGAGGGAAGCAGGTGAAGAGCTCTGTTGCCTCTCCTGGCACAGGCCACAACCACAAGCCAAATTTGATTAGAGAAACATGTTATTAAATTTAATTTTCTTTAAATACATAACCTTTGCCCACTCTCAGCCACTGGGCTGAGGAAGGGGAGACTCCACCCCCCACTCCATCCCCGGGTGGGGGGGGCAGCATGTGTAAAGCCTGAGACGGTGATGATGAAGTACAAGAATACTATTTACAGAGGGGAAGCAGACATCTGCACTACTGTAACCTCCAGACACCCCCACCCCAGGGTCCGTTCCAAAAGAAAGCCCCTGGAAATGTGCTGAGGATAGAAAAAGTCCCTTCCCATAGAGTGGGGGTCTCTTCAAAAACTAAGGAGGAATAGGAAGCTCTGAGATTAACCAGGGTCAGGGAGAGAATGGATAGCACCTCAGATCTTAACAGGGGATGGTTGGTCCCATCACCCTGCAGTGGGCCAGGACAAGGCTGGCCTTTGTTTCCTGCATCCCATGTAAACATTGACTTTTCCCTTTTCTAGGCAGGTCCCTGACTTCCTTTATTTCATGCTGAGTTTTTCACCTTGGTTTCTTGATCTTTTCTCCATCCTTCCCTTTAAACCATCCCAAGGCTCTGGCAGGATGTGAGGGGATGTGGGTGGGGCAGAGCCACCTCATCCTTTCAAGGCCAGAGTCGCTTGTTCTCCAAAGGGAAGTAAGTGCCCATGTTCACAGTCACAGGGTTGACTCCTTCCCAGGGTAAGGATGAGGCAGGTGGATAGTGGAGTACCAGGATAGAGTAGTCTGGCTGGGTGAGGTCACAGGGACTGGGTAACAGGGAAAGGCGCTCTGGGAGGCAGAGCCTGGGAGAGTCTGGTACTGGTCCGGCACTGCTGGTAGAAGCCCGGCCCTGTCACCCTTGCCTTTAGTTGAGTGTGGAAGAAGAATGTTACCACCCAAGAAAGTCTTGTTCATTGTGTTGAGGAACCCCGGGTGCCCACAGAGCGAGCAGTCTGCTCCAGTGTCCACGTACAAGGAGCGCTCACACCAGTTCATCCAATAGGATCCCGAGGCTCTGCGAGGTCTCCGTGGGGCCGGCGATAGGCTTGTTGCACATGGGGCAGACACAACGCACTTCGAGCCACTTCACCAGACACCTGTGAACAAGAGGACCGTTATCTCCGAGGAGACATTCCAGATGGCTCCAGCTGTCTCTGAGTCCAGCTGCTTCTGAGAACAAAGTACCCCTGTGCCTGCCCCGAGCTAACCTCTCTGGCGTGCTGAACCTAGGGCATCACTGTTAAACAGCATTGGCGGGGATTAGAAGGTTCTTACAGATACTCCCTATTTCTCTTCTGCAGCCCACCTCCCCACCCCCCCCATCACATCCCCACATACTTGCGGTGAAAGGCATGTTGGCATGGAAGTACGCCTAGCTCATCCTTCCCCTTGAAGTCTTCCAGACAAACTGCACAGGTCTGCTATGGAGAGGGAGAGAGGGCGGACGAGAATCTGTGAGCTAGGAGTCCAGAGGCCCTCTTCACCCATCCATCCTGAATATCCACCAACTAATTTTCAGACAAGGAAACCAAGCTCCAAACCCCCATCTCCTTCCTGTGTGAGCCAGACGAAGCTCAGCCATATTTATAAGACTGTATCGACAGGATTAGCAGCCAACAGGGCTGCTTAAACGGAAATCAAGCAAATGAAGAAACTGTAAACATAGCTGCTCCGAAGCGCTAGCCACGTTTCTTCAAATGTTTATTTCAATATGAAAACTTGGCCTGGGATGGAGTTTTGCATATCATCTGGGAGACCCTGAATTGGATCCCCTGCCCCACAATCAGAAACACTAAATAAAGAGTGTGTGGTGGTTTTTTTGCTGTTAGCGATAGGGCCCTTAGGGGAGGAAGCATAGATCTCTCTGCTCAACATCCTGGTTTTATTTTCGGTTTTGTTTCTGGGGGGACAGACTCTCACACAGCGCAAGTTAGCCTCAGACTCACTGTATAACCAGGGCTGTCCCTTGAATTTCTCATCTTCCAGCCTCCACCTCCCTAAAGTGTTGGGACTATAGATTTGAGTTACCATGTTCAGTTCATTGTTTAAAAGCATGCCAGTTCTTCTCCCACAAGGCACTGTGTCCTCATGCTACCACCATTCCAGGTTGTTCTGGTGCTCGGTAGCTGCCACCTAACGTATCTAACGAGTCATAATTCGGCCAAATCCCTACAGTACTCCTTAGACATGGATACAACTATTTAATGTCACCGGTAACTGCTCAGGTATTCAAATGATGTATATTTTGGCTCAGGAGAGAGAGTTTTGCTCATGGTGCCTACTTAGTCGGGGCAGGCTACTTTGATATGAGTTCTAAGTCTCTCTCGTACCCTGCAGGTGGCTGTCCATATTTTCAATGCTCAACAGCTACCTATGGCTGATGGTTCCCAGATGGGAGAGTATAGACTCATAACATGCTTATTAACACACAAGTTTTTAATTGACAGTACTGGTCTCGAATAGTTCTGTCCTTTCTAGCCTACAGCATGACTAAGGAGGCACACAGTAATAACAAGTAAGACCATAGGATAGATGTGATGGCTATTCTTGGTTGTCAACTTGACTATATCTGAAATTTACTAAAACCCAAAGGGCTGGGCACACCTGAGAGATTTTTCTTCTTTTTCTTTCTTTCTTCCCCCTACCTCCCCAGGGTTTCTCTGTGTAGCCCTGGCTGTCCTGGAACTCACTCTGTAGACCAGGCTGGCCTTGAATTCGGAGAGACACTTGCCTCTGAGTGCTGGGATTAAAGTCATGTACCATCACCACCTGGCAGTGAGGGATTTTTCTTAAATCATTTGAAGTGGGAAGACCCACTTCTAATCTGGATCTTTGAGGTGATAAGATCCACCTTTAATCTGGGCCACATCTTCTGCTGGTGACTTAGAGGATAACAGAAGAAGGAAGTGTGCTCTGACTGACTGCTTTCACTCTCACTGGCAAGTCCATTCCTTCATTGGCGTTACACTCTACTTCTTTGGGATTCCAGTATATAATGAAGACCAGCTGAGACATCTAGCCTTGTGGACTAAACAACTACTAGATTCTTTTGGTAGACTGTGGGACCGTTTTCAGGTTCCTCGTGGCTTTACCCAGCAGGTCTGCATAGAGGACGATTAGGACCACGGGCCTAAGTGCAGGTGTGTGAGATGGTCTGCACTTGACTGTGCTGGGGGAGGAGGTCTTTTGTTCCACCCCTTGACGTCTATAAATACCCTGGGGCAGAGACAGTCGGAGCCCCTTGGAAAAGGTTCCGGGCCCTCTCGAGGCTATCCTTTATTTTCTATCTGTTTATCTCTGCAATATAAATCCTTCTATCTAATATTTCCTGCTGCTCACACTCAAGAAAACTCTGGGGAGCTGTGGGGTTGATGGGTAAATACCCTACAGTACACCATCATTGTTGGACTAGTTGGACCACAGCCTGTAAGCAACTGTAATAAATCTCATTTTATATATATATATATATATATATATATATATATATATATTTTCATTATATATGTATATATATATTCATTATATATATGTATATATATATTCATTCTATAAGTTGTGTTCCACTAGAGAGCCCTGACTCATACAGATATATGTGCTCAGTTACATTCTCTAAATCCAGACTTATGTCCCCATTTAGGAAACTCCAAGGTCTCAGCTCAACTACTGCAAAAGTTAAGAAACACCTGAACTTACTTTTTAAAGAAACTGTGGTGTAGTAGCAACATGCAAAACAAGAGTAAAATGAGGCCATGTCTAGGGAGTCCCATGCTTGGTGAGGCTGGAATCCTATTCATTTTCAGACAACCACAAACGGCTCACTCTGGTTAGGGTGTCTGTGATTATGGATGGGAGCCTTGGGAGAGGAGTTAGGTAACCTCAAAGGCTGAGGGGACTGTTCTGGAAATGGTCCATTAAAAGAGGAGGTGGAGGGGAAAAAAAAAAAAGGAAGGGTGAATGGTGTAATTGTATTTTAACTGAAATAAAAAGGTCAAAGTTGAGCGACTTTATGGAATTGGCCTTATGTGGGGAGTGGGAGAGACATGGAGGGGAGGAACAGGCCAGAACCATTACAAGGGATACAAGTCACTGATCTGTTAGGACAATGTAATATACATGAGTAAAAGGTCCTTATTTTCTTTAGTCACAGACCAGAGCATAGGTATCAAATAAAGGGAAAGTTAGCAGCACTCTGCCTACGGCACAGAGTGTGTGATACACTTACTGATTCTGCACACCACGCTCCCTAAGGCATAGAGCCTATGACATGGAACCCGTGGCCACCCTCATATATTCAACACAGCATACTCCCTACCGCATACAGCCTGTCATACCCTTAGAGATTCTACACAGCACTGTCCATGGCATAGAGCCTGCCACACCCTTAACAGCTTTCTGCAAGATTCCTGCTCCATTTACCTTTGTTTCCTGCCTTATCTGGCTCCAGACAAAATGCATTCATTACCTGCTGGGATGAATTCCTTCTGTTTGGACACAGGTAATCTAAAGGCAGGGAACTAAAGAGCCTGCAGAAGGTTCAAGCGAAGAGCTGGAGAAGGATGCTCTAAGCAGGATCCTTCCAAGGGTTATCCCAAGACACTTACCCCATAGAGCTGCAACTTCTTAGCATCACCTTTAAGCACCACCTGAGGAGGAAAGATACAGCTGATGTCTGAAAGGTGCCAACCATAGGAGCCAGGGAGATTCACCCAGAGAGGTGTGCACCTCTCTCTTCATGAAGGTGAAAAGTAAACCCAACTTGAGGACAGTGGCAGGAATGGTAAGCCTCTGGGGTGCCCAGGAGGTCAGAGAATATGGGCTATAGAAGCTTGGGCTTACTCTCCCTATCAGGGAAAGGGGTGAAGGAGGAAGTTTAATGCAGAGATGGTATTTTACCTCCTTGTAGCCATATCGCTCGCTCTGTGCCTGGTTCCGGAGTTTACTAGGTGGAGAAAGAAAGAGAAGAGCAGATTATCATGTTTTGTTTTAAGATACACAAGACAATGACAGTATGTGGGGTGGGCTGCCTGCTCGGACATTTCTGGAGCTGAGAAGGGTACTTGTTTCATAGACGCCAATAGGGGCATAGTTCAGATGCATGCAGGCCAACAAGAGATGATAAGGATTAAGTTTTTTTTTTTTTTTGGCTTTTCGAGACAGGGTTTCTCTGTGTAGCTTTGTGCCTTTCCTGGAACTCACTTGGTAGCCCAGGCTGGCCTCGAACTCACAGAGATCCGCCTGGCTCTGCCTCCCAAGTGCTGGGATTAAAGGCGTGTGCCACCACCGCCCGGCAAGGATTAAGTTTTTATTACTAGGTCCCAGTTATATTCTGGGCTGTTCACCAACAGGGCATCCTAAATGGCTTGTCTGCTTTCTTTGCCTTTTCCCAGTAGGTAAATTCCTCCAGATATCCAAACTACGTAGAGCAACAGTATGTTTACCGTGTGCAGGAGGAGTTAGGTATTTTTAAGCAGTGGCCTGCATAAAGTCACTAGATAGCCAAAACACAGCATGTTGTTACCCATAGCAATGGCATAATAAATAGTCAATCCAGGCTATGTTGTGTGTCCCTTGGAGATTGACATTGTCTCACTGAATCCAAACAACTCCAGGAAGAAAGAAGTTTCCATTTTATAGATTGGGGAAAAAAAAAAAAAAAAAAAAAAAAAAAAAAAAAAAAAAAAAAAAACGAACTCCAAAGAAATTAAGCAAGTTGCCCAAACTTTCCAGAGTAGATGGGGAGCAGTTCCTGAGTTATAGGTGAGCCTGCCCTCTTTACCACAGAACATGAACATGATCTCCCCCTGCCCCTCCATAATTACGTGGAATACATCAGAACCCTGAGTTCTCATTTGATCTTGAGGTACACTGCATGCTTTAAGCCTTTGACTTTGGGTGACCCACTGTGCAGATGGCTGGAAGCATCATTATACACCGACTCTGTGCCATCTGACATCAGTGGGGGGAATTTTTTTTTTTTTTTTTTTTTACTGAGTTCTACACACAGCCCAGACTGACTTCAAGTTCATGATCTTCAAAATGGATTGAGATCATAGGCATGTGCTACTGTGCCCAGCTGCAGGTGGGTACAGATGCCTCCTATACATGGGCACAGAACTTTCACCTTTCTGTTGTTGTTGAGTGCTAGGGATTATTAACCTCAGTGCCTCAGGCATGCTATAATGATCAAGTGAATTTGATTAAGAAATACCATAATAGCTCAGTATTAAGTGAAGTATATCTCAGGGTGTGTCTTTGATGTCATTTCCAGACACATCCCAATCATGAGAGTTTTGACCCAGTCCTTCAACGGATTCTTGGTACGAGGCATTATGGAAGATTGTAGAAAGAGGAATCTTGCCTTGGACCCACTGTTTTCTCTGTTTTCTGTCTCTTGTCCAGTAAGAACTGACAAATAGCCTGTTACAACCCCCTGCCACCTCAATTTTCTGCTTAAGCATTTGAGACTAAGTGACCATGGATGAGAACCTCCCTCCCCCGTGAAACCACAAATTGGGTATCTTTGATAGCAATGATAAAAGTATATTTGTAATATAATACACCAAGTGCTTCCTAACATAGATCTGTCTGGAGTATGGGAGGGAAGCCTTGCCATAATGAAGTAGGGCAAAGTCCACCTCACTCCTTGTTCTTACAGGGTCAGGGTCGACAGGCTAAGAACAGCCTTTTTTTTTTTTTTTTTCTCCTCGAGACAGGGTTTCTCTGTGTAGCTCTGGCTGTCCTGGATCTCGCTCTGTAGACCAGGCTGGCCTCGAACTCCCAGAGATCTACCTGGCTCTGCCTCCTGAGTGCTGGGATTAAAGGCGTGCACCACCACCACCGCCGCCGCCTGGCTAAAAACAGCTTTTGTTTTTCACTGGGTAAAGATAGAAGGAAAAAAAAAAAAACATCTCAGAGTACACACACTTTTATCTCACGACCTGAAACTTTAGGGGTGTAGCTCAGCAATAGAGCACTTGTTTCCCACGCATGAAAGCCTGGGTTTGGTCCCCAACATGACAGAAGAAAAATTCATTTTTTTAAAAATGCCACTGGTTCATCAGTTGACGCACTGCCCACGACCGCCTTTGGGACTGGCTACGATGGCGTAGTAGAACTGCTAGTTGGTTGTGATGGAGACTTTACAACCCAGAAAGCTGGTAAATAAAAAGGTGGCTGGCCTGAGCGACACACACAGAACACCTCATTTCAGTGGATGCAGCTCCTCCCGGAGTGGTGAAGAAGCAGAGGGATAGACAGCCATGCCTGAGAGAGGTGGGTCAGGACAGATAAGATCTGGCCACCAGCCTCCTCCATCCTTCCTGATAGGAAGTCACGTGGTCTGGCAAGGCTGAATGTTCCTGGAGCCTCTGGGAAAGTCCCAGCCAGGTGGATTCCTGCCAGGGCTTGGGGCTGAGGCGTCACGGCCACCCCCACCCCCCCCCCCGCTTCTCTCTACCGAGTGTTTTCTGCTCACTTTCAGGCCTGCACCGACCAGAGCTCCCCAACTGTATGATCCTTAATGTGCAGAACTCTCCATTCCTGAAAAGGTTTTCATGTATAATGCAAGTGTGTCTTTGTCTCAGCTTCCAAAGGAGATGGGCTGGGAAGGGCGTGTCCAAAGCTAGAGTGAGCTATTACCTGGCCACACTGTGCATGGTCTTTCTTTAGAAGAAAACTTTCATTTTCTTTCCTGTTTTTTTTTTTTTTTTTTAGAGTCTTACATAACCCAGGCTGGCCTCAAAGTGGCTATGTAGCCTAGCCAAGGATGACCTTGACCTTCTGGTCTTCCTTCCTCAATCTCTGAGATGCTAGGGTTATGAGAGCACCTTGCGTGCTAGGCACTTTCCAGCTTAGATCTAACCTAGTCCATCTGCACTCCCAAGCTCATTCTTTCCCCACCCTCTAAGCCTAAGGACCAAATGCTTGATAGGTCACTAAGCTACATTCCAACCCTGTCTGGGGGTAGTTTAAATGAGAGAATGCCACACATTTTTTTTTTTTTTTAAGGTTCAACTGCCTCATCAACAACACAGATACACTTGTGCAGTGTGTGCGTGTGTGCTATGCTTTATGACCGCTGGGTCCTAGTGCCTGGGGTCCTCTCACCTAAAGCAGGCTCTCTTTAATGGAGGGATCTAGAACTCTCAAAGCTCCATCTTCATTCTGCATGGCTTTCAGCTCAGGAAGGATTAGGTCATGAGGAGATGGGGCTCAAAGGGTTGCAAAGAAAACAGCAAAAAAACGCATACTCTGGGCCGTCCCAGTTGGGGATGGAGAGCCAAAAAACTCCGGACAGGTGGCTTTCTCAGCTGTTGGCTGAGCAAAGCAACTAAAAATATCACGATCTCAATGAGACCATCGCAAGCCACCGCCAGCATGCTCTCCCTTCCCTTCCCTCTTTCCCCTTTGAGAGCAAACAATGCAACCAGCTCCAGAAAATAATTGTTCCTTTCCTGCCGATTTGTATTCCACTGGCCCCTCCATCCTGTGTAAGCAGAGGTCAGCTCTGAGGGGAAAGAGGAGAAACAAGGGGCAGCTGGCAGATGAGGCGTCCTTGGCTCAGGAGCTCACCGGGTCAGGAGTGGCAGCCATGGGCCTATTTTGGCTGAGGTGGAAACTGAGAAGCAGGGAGAGGAAGTGGCCTATGTGCCTGTGTGTTTTTCTGTATATAGACACATATACCACATGCCAGTGAGCCTTTGGAACCATGAGACCCAGGGGTCAGCTGGCTCTGGACAGGCTACAGGACATAGGGTAGGGTGATGAGGGAGCAGAATACTGCAGAAGGGACAGATGGCACCGTGCTGCACCACAGTGGGGGTGGCTGTTAGTACCATGTGGTCACTACTCTCTGTTCTTCTGCTACAACCAAAACAAAACAAATCAGAACCAGATAGAACCAGAGCCTGTCTCCTGCAGGACCCTGACACCCAGCTGAAAGGGGTTGGCTGTGGAGGTCTCATCAGCTCTACTTCCCATGCAAGGAAGTAGGCACATAAAAGACAAACATGGAGGAGAGCATGAAAGGCTAAATCGTCACCTCAATCAGCATCTTCCTGGACAAATTCCTAACTGTCTGGACATGAATGTCTTCATTTATGCAGCTCCCTGACCCTTACACCGGAAACTTGTTCACAGAATTGGGTGAGCTAAATGGTCTACCACAATGCCTGGCACAAGAAGGTCCTTAGCAAAGACTAACCCAAAACACAAGGTCATGCCTATTAGTGGCAATTAGGAAACGAACCTCAGTCATCTACTTGTTGGTCAGAGTGTTAGCCTCTGGATTTTCTTTTGTTCATTATCTTTGGGGCGTGTGTGTGTGTGTGTGTGTGTGTGTGTGTGTGTGTGTGTGTGTGTGTGTGTGTAGAAAGGAGCCAAATAGAGAATATAGTTTTTTAAATAAAATTTTATAAATTTGTATTTCTATTAGTCACATTCTACAAAAAAAAAAAAATCGGTGATACTTGAAACATGTATACCTTGACCCTTCACGAGAATTGGTTAACTGCTTGATAAAGAGGTTGAGGGAAAAGACCAATGAATAATAGTTTTGGGAGGGAAATCATAGGGATTATAGAATAGAAAAGAGGAAGTCTACATTTACTCCCACTTAGCAGGTAAATGTGAATTTTGCACTTATTGTATCAGAGGAAAATTTAAAACACCATTTTCTCTGCACACTTAGGTGGAGAAATTCAAGTTTTTTTTGTTGTTTTTGTTTGTTTGTTTGTTTTTGTTTTGTTTTGTGAAGCTTTGAGCCTGCCTGTCCTGGATCTTGCTCTGTAGACCAGGCTGGCCTTGAATCAGAGATCACCCTGCCTCTTACCTCCCAAGTGCTGGGATTAAAGGTGTGTGCCACCACTGCCCGGCTGAGAAATTCAAGTTTTAAAGACACCTGTCTCTTAATTTTCTACATTTATTTGATTAAAGACTCCAAAGATAGCCGGGCGGTGGTGGCGCACGCCTGTAATCCCAGCACTCGGGAGGCAGAGGCAGGTGGATCTCTGTGAGTTCGAGGCCAGCCTGGTCTACAGAGTGAGATCCAGGACAGGCTCCAAAGCTGCAGAGAAACCCTGTCTCGAAAAACAAACAAACAAACAAAAAAAGACTCCAAAGATTATTACCATGTTCTATTGGCCAGACAGATGTCTTACTCTCCAACGTCCAGGGCAGACCCATGGGACAGAGACCCACAGCATGCACCAATCAACACCCCATTAGAACTCTGCTTTTGTTTCTGCTCTAAGTACCAAGCACGTCCAACACTTTCCTCCATGTGCATGTAGATTCCTATGCGTATAAGCACACACGTGTATATTTAGGATACCACATTGGCAGTCTTCCTCAGTGGCTCTCTACCTTATTCACAAAGGCAGCTTCTTTCCCTTGAACTCAGAGCTCTCTGATATGGTTGGTCTAGCTAGCCAGCTTGCTCTAGGGATCCCATCTCCACATTCTAGGGCTGGAATTACCTCGGGCCACCATGCTCACCCAGCATTAACATGGGTTCTGTATTCAAATTCCACTCCTGATACAGGCGCTTTAAGCAATGGACCATCCATCTCCCCCGATTTTTAGCAGATAACATCCATAAGCTCCTGCGTCCTTCACCTTAAGGAGAAATAGTTCCTGGGGCTTAGCGACCCCTGCCAAGCTCAAGTCCTTCTCTTGATCCCTAAGCAACTAAGAGTGTCATTTTTCCTTTCCACTCTCAGAGTTTTCTACCATGAGCTTGCTAACATCAACATTGGGAGAGCTGGCAATTTCACAGAAGAACAAAAGAACTAATACCTACCTACCTACCTATCCCTGGCTGTGAGTGGGAAGCCGGTTAAGAGTGCTGGCTTTATCGCTCAGCCAACAGTCGTTCTAGGCAACTTTAGAATAACTAACTGGCCAAGAGGTGGGATGCAGTCCAACCCTTGGTGACCTTATGTGCTCTGGGATAACTTGATAAGGCTGATATAAATAGAAACGCCAGACCTCAAGGGTCCAAGAGAAGGGCGGGCTAATGTGCATCCTCCCACCAGAGGCCCGGCACAAGGCTCTGATGTGTCTGTGTGGGAGGTTGGGTGGGAGCACCTTGCTCAATATCTTCCATGGCCCAGGCTCCTTCCTTCTTGAGTTCCCTCCCCAAATCAGCCAGCAAGCAACCAACCTGATGAAGTAGCAGCAGAAGATGAGGCTGAGCATGAAGACAAAGATGCCTGTACCGAAGATGACCATGTAGATGTTGAGAGGGAGGTCTTGGAAACTGATAGGTGGCATTGAGCAGGACTTGTTGGTACTAACCAGTCCCAGGCCACAGAAACACCCTGAAAAACAAGAGGCAAATAGTTCTAAAGTTAGACACTTACCACTGGGGCCCGTGGCACACTGTGTTAGCCAGAATGTCAGGTTCTAACTTAAGCTTATATCCCAGCACTAACTACTAACTACGTACATGGTCCTGAATAAGTTACTTAGCCAATCTATGAAATGGAATGTTAGGCAAAGCACTTGAATGGATTAAGAATTTAGAAGGCTGGCGTGTGGAGCATGCCTTTAGTCTCAGCACTCCAGAGGCAGAGGCAGGTGGATTGCTGAGTTCAAGGCCAGCCTGGTCTACAGAATGAGTTCCAGGACAGATACAGCTACAGAGAAAATTATGTCTCAAAAAACAAACAAGGAAGCAGGGCAGTGGTGGTGCACACCTTTAATCCCAGCACCCAGGAGGCAGAGGCAGGTGGATCTCTTGAGTTCCAGGACAGGCTTCAAAAAGCTACACAAAGAAGTCCTGTCTCAAAAAACCAAAACCAACCAACCAACCAACCAACCAAACAAACAAACAGAAAAAGGAATTTAGGCAAGGACAGAAAGCAGAAAAAAAAAACAATAATAAAACTTCCTCCAGCCGGGCAGATTCTACCTGAAGCTGGGCGGTGGTGGTACACACCTTTAATCCCAGCACTCGGGAGGCAGAGGCAGGCGGATCTCTGTGAGGTGGAGGCCAGCCTGGTCTACAGAGTGAGATCCAGGAAAGGCACAAAGCTACATAGAGAAACCCTGTCTCGAAAAACCAAAAAAAACAAAACTTCCTCCAAGTAGGAAACACTCATTGGGTACATTGCAAAAAGAAGTGCCTAGGTGAGAAAATATATTGTTTGAGTCACGACTCATGTTTCCTAAGCTAACTACATGATGTTCATGGAGTTATTACTATGGAATTAACCTCATCATAGGAAAACTAGCCAAGTAGAGGAATAGAAATGATGATTTGAGAAATAATAAGCCACAAGGAAGAATTAATTGCAAAGGTCATTTGTCACTCTTAACCACCTGTTCTAGAAGACAAGCTGTGCCAGAACCAGAATAGAAATTGTTCACTAGAACTCCAGGCCAGCATTCCAGAAGGTGGTGACGAGGACTGGTGCCAGGGAATACGGCTTCTACTCATAGCCTCAAGGTCCCATCCTTGAGTATATCTCCTAAGAACTTGGTAGAAATGTGCAGTCTTAGCCGGGCCTTGGTGGCACACGCCTTTAATCCCAGCACTCAGGAGGTGGAGCCAGGATGATCGCTGTGAGTTCTAGCCAGCCTAGTCTACAGAGGGAGAGCCAGGACAGACACCAAAACTACACAGAGAAACCATGTCTCGAGGGGAAAAAAAAAAAAAAAAAAAAAAAGAAAAGAAACGTGCAGTCTTAAGTCTATACCACACTAAATGAAGTGGATTAATCATTAGGAAGACCCTTGGAGATTCTCCTGCACATTCAGCTTGGAAGCACTGGCTGGCCACTAACTGCTTCCCTTCTCATTGGCCCTCCCATGAGGCAATCATCTTCCCTTGCCCATGCCTGGTGTCCAAGTGGGTGGGTGCTCAGACTCTGGGCAATAAACCAAAGAAAGTCTTCAGAGAAAGGCAAGATTTTCTTAGCTGGGCACAATATTATACTCCTAATTATCTGGGAAGTGTCTACTCAGAAGGCTGGAACAAGGGAACCATGAGTTTCAGGGTAGCCTGAGCTATGCAGCGATACCCTTGGCTACCTCCCACACCCTGCAAAAAAAAAAAAAAAAAAAAAAGCTGGGCCTTGGTGGTAGACGCCTTTAATCCCAGCACTTGGGAGGCAGAGGCAGGCGGTTCTCTGTGAGTTCAAGGCCAGCCTGGGCTACATAATGAGTTCCAGGGAAGGCACAAAGCTACACAGAGAAACCCTGTCTCGAACCCTCCCCCCCAAACAAAAACAAAAACAACCCACCACAAAGAATCAAATTCCTTTTAGGAAATATTTTCTTCTTCTATCACCTCAGACATCTAGGAAGGTAAGATAAGACAACTGGAAATAGAATAGCCAAAAGCATTCAAGAGTGATATCCATGATTAACCAGAATCTGTGTCCTACATACATTCCAACCACCTTCTACACTCCTAGCCTTTTTACTTCCCCAAGATCTGCCAGACCTCAGGGGCTAGGCTCTCTCCTGGCTTTTTGGTTAGGAGCCAGGATTCCACCTGGTGATTACCAGGACCAGAGCTACCACAAGTCTGCAGCAGACCAGCTACAGACCGCAATCAATTGTGACACTGTGTTATGGTCCAGACTTGAGGCTTCCCTGCAGCAGGCTTAGATGCTCCTCTCTGCTCCTTGGACCCCAGGAGGTAAAGCTACCTCTTCCCCATTTGCCTGTTGTTCAAGTCTTAGATGGGCTTTTAACAAAAAACCCAGAGCCAAATATTGGGGTGAAAGCCGAAACAGAGAAGCAGAGCAAAACACAGCTAACCTCACCTCACCAACTCCTCAGCCAATCCCGTTTCCACGAATCCTCAGAATGAAAGCTTCTGAGTCTTCACCCAAAAGGGTCTCAGCTGAACTGCCTTAGTTTCTGTCTCCTCACACCTTATATACTGTTCTCTGCCCAGCCACGTCACTTCCTGGGATTAAAGGCGTGTGTGCTTCCCAGTATGGAGATTAAAGGTGTGTGTGCCACAACTGCCTGGCTGTTTCCAGTGTGGCCTTGAACTCAGAGATACAGATGGATCTCTGCCTCCCAAGTGTTAGGATTAAAGGTGTGTGCCACCACTGCCTGACCTCTATGTCTAATCTAGTGGCTGGCTCTGTCCTCCAATCCTCAGGCAAGTTTATTAGGCAAGTATATATCACCACACTTGATAGACTTCAACCTCAAAAAGTCATGTGCTAAAATTTTCTTAGTTGTGTATGATTATGATTCTGTCACAGTGATGACAAAACTAAGTGTCACACATGGTACATCATTCCTCTGTGTCCCTTATATCAGTGGGTGACCTAAGCCTTCATCCAAAAGTCAGACTATGCCACATCCATTTTTACAGACATTGCCTACTCCTGTCTTATTGATGTCACCACTGTTTCCTCTAATTATCCTACGTGTCTGGCACATCTTCCAAACTCCACTTACATGCAATTTCCAAACTCTTGTCTGGTCTCAAGTCTGTATGAATGTGCACCCTGCCCCCTTGCAATATCCTGTCAGCGTTCTCCACCTGGCCAGTCTTATTTTATCTTGCCCAACCATGTCATGTCTATCTCCACACCTTTGTCTATATGTAGCCTTCTCTGCCTAGAATTCTTTCCTTTCTGAAGTCTAGCCTTGGTCTTGCGATAACTTTCCTTCCCAACGTCAGGGCTGTGGGTTGAACTAGTCAGCACCTTGCATAGGCTAGGCAGTGAGTGACCTACTACTGAGCTGAATCTTCAGGCCCTGCAAGGTCTTTAGGATATTCCAATGATCTCTGTCACGGAATTCTACAATGCTAAGAACTTGCATCACTAGTCATGGTTTTTGCTCAGCATATCTTCCGTTACCCTGTTGTTGCGAGTATCAACTTAATTTGACTCTTGTTCCACTCTGCATTGATTATATGATGAGCATGGGGCTGGAGAGAGACGGACGGTTGCTCAGCTCTTAAAGGCTAGGCTCACAACTATAACCTTAGGATAAGCGTGATAGTTGAGATTAAAAGAGCACAGAGGAACGGCTAGACGACTTTTCCACGAGGGAAAGAGACAAGACTCAGGCACCTTCCTTGACCAAAGTTAGATGTGATTGTAGAGGTGAGTCTATAGTTCTGAGAGCAAAGACAGAGCCAGAGAATAAGGGTAGTCCTTCCAACAAGCCTGAACCCTCCTAGGCCTGGGCATACCAACTTGGACTCCTAAACGCTCTGCAGTGCCCTGAGCTAGGGTTTGGTCTGTCTACATAGCTAGTTAACAGACAGCTCCCTGCTTTCTCAAAGCAACCTAGTCTCTTCTTGGCAAAAGCTCCTACTTCAAAGTAGGAAGATTGATGTTTGGGAAAACTGCCCAGAAACTGCCCTCAGCTAATAAATCACCAGTCAGCCAACAGGTTTTGTTCTGGGTGTGTTTTATACACTGACCTAGACCTTGTGGGGAAACAGAAAGCGAAAGAAGTTCTTGTTCTGAAGGAATTTTCAATTAGGGGAAATTAAAGAAGCAATTAGCTACTAAAATTTGCTTTGCTCAAAAGGATGTTTCTTGCTTCTAGGCTCCACTGGAGGGTTAGAAAGAATACCATTTTCCTTACTGGTTCCCACTTGAGGATTTGCTTTCCTGTGGGTCTTTCACAGAGCAACTCTCTGCTAAGCTATCATGCTAGACCTGCCCCAGCCAGCATCCTTCACTCCGTACCAGTAAAGGGTCTCAGGAACTCTCTTCCAGAAAATTGTACCTTCAGGACCACCAGGACCTTCTACTGCACCTCCTTTATTCTGCCACAGAAATGTTGGATGCTGTAAGAGGGCCAGCATCCTCTTCACATTTGCCATGGCTCTCCTATGGACCTTACATAAGCAGGACCCTGGTATCTACTGGGTCCTAAAGAACCTCCTATTTCTATTCTGAAAAGCTCGTTGTGTACAGAGGATATACGCTAGCACCCTGCTGGTACTTTGGTTCCAGCAGTCCCAGATCAATTTGTCTCCAATCTTTTCCCATCTCCTAAAAGGGTTTCCCTGGGCCTCTAGGACTGAATCAGGGAACTTGGGACTTTGTGGACTATATAAGGAGGCAGCTTCAAGAATAGATGCTCAAGCATGTGTTGAATAATAGTTTCCTCAGAGATTAAAAGACTTCATTCTGCAGGAAGCTCCTTAAGCAGGAAGGCAAACAACTCAAATAGCTTCAGGAAGTCCCTGAAACTGATCAGATTCCCCAGGGGCCTCCCCACATTCCTGCTAGAGTAAACAACAAAAGCTGAGAATCTGAACTCGGATAGAAGGAAGCTGAGCTGCAAAGACTCTTCAGACCAGCTACCTAGAAGAGGTTTAGACGAGTCCCTTGGAAAGGGCACGCTCCAACTTGTTGAGCTGCAGGCTGTGCAGCGTGTTCCAGGTTTCCCAGCTCTTGGGAGCAGTCACCCATGCTGGAGTGGGCTTTGGTGATACAGCTATCTGAGTCATTCCTGCTTCTGTGAGTAACCCCTCACCCATATTCCTGTAAGTAACCCCAGTAAAACTCATTGGTTCATCCAAGTTGGACTCCGTATCCATAACTTTGGTCTGTCGTGGAATCCCTAGCTAGTGTGAATAGACAGACATGAGTTGCATATCCCCAGGAAAAAGCTTTGTCACACAACAGCCTGCTGTCATAGGAGCTCATGTGTGTGACCCCTGCAGTCTGAGGGGTGCAGGCAGAACTGAGTTTTTCTGAGGCCAGCATGGGTGACAGTGAAAATCCATTGAGTATCATTCATACTTTTGAGAACAAAATTGGTTTGATTTCTTTTTTTTCTTTTGAGAAGGGTTTCTCTGTGTAGCCTTGGCTGTCCTGGAACTCATTCTATAGACCAGGCTGTCCTGGAACTCAGAGATCCGCCTGCCTCCAACTCCCAAGTGCTGTGATTAAAGTGCCACCACTGCCCGAAAATTTGAAATATTTTTTTAAAAGATTTATTTATTATGTATACAGTGCAGAACACCAGAAAAAGGCACCAGATCTTATTACAGATGGTTGTGAGCCACCATGTGGTTGCTGGGAATTGAACTCAGGACCTCTGGAAGAACAGCCAGTGCTCTTAACCTCTGAGCCATCTTGCCAGCCCCTCAAATATTTTTACTTTAGAATATTTGTACAGGGCCGCGGTGGTGGCACACGCCTTTAATCCCAGCACTTGGGAGTCAGAGGCAGGCGGATCTCTGTGAGTTCCAGGCCAGCCTGGTCTATAGAGTAAGTTCTAGGGCAGCTAGGACTGTTTCACAGAGAAATCTTGACTCTAAAAACCAAAAAGAATATTTGTACATAGTGTGATTATCTCCAGGATAGGGCTCAAGTCTAAACATGAAATTCATTCTATGTTTTATACACCTTATTCATGCAGCCTGAAGATAACTACACATTTTAAGTTATTTTGTGCATGAAGCAAAGTTTAATGCTGTGAAATTTTCTCTTGCGATATCACATTTGAATTTTATACAATTTGAACTTTCCAGGATTTTTAATTTTCAGATAGGGAATGTTCAACTTGTCCTCTTGAAGAGAAATGAAAAAAAAAAAGTTATTGTCCAAATTGGACAGTAAAGTTTTCCCTTAAAATTTTAAGGTCAAAGAATACCCATCCCAGATATGGGGTTCTCTAAGAGGTTTTTCAAGGGGAGCAGAAATGAGGTTGCAGTCCCTCTTGAGTCAAGAGAGGGGATCTGCCAATCATTTTAAGATAAAGGGTGCATTGCAGGTCAGTGATGGAGTGTGTTTAGGGTGAGCAAGGCCTGGGTTCTAACACTACGGGGGTGGGGGTAGGGCAGCGAAAGATAAAACATTTCCAAAGGGAGCACAGCCCAGAAGAAGGTCGGGGATACTGACAGCCTAGTCCTCCCTAAGTGTCTGGCCCATTGTCTTCGACTTTGACACCAGAATGTCTCATCTCAGCTGGCAGGCTGCAAGCAGGAATGACGTCAGAGCAGGTCTGGCTGAGACCAGCGGATCTGGGAACTGCTTCTTTCCAGCCAAAGGGAATCTTTCCCAGATGCTGGGATACACCGTCAGGCCTCAATCCCCATCCCCCGCCCCTCTCCATTACCCGCCTATCACACACAGCTTGGTTCATTTTCAGGAAATTAGATCCGACCAGCAAAAGGAGGAAGGTGGTGGGGGGGGGGATGGGGGCCACTCATACACATGCGGCCCAAACCCTGCCTTAAAACAAAAGCCTCTTGAAATAATTAATCCAAGATCTGGCAGAAGGCTACTCAAGAATGGTTTTTCCCCCCTCTGAGTAACCAGCCAGCCATACAAAAAAAAAAAAAAGCGCCAGCTGCTTTCCACCTCGTCCAACTCTTCATGTTTAGAAAAAGTGGCCAAGATTCTGGGGGCCCTTGGGGGAAAGGGTGGGTGGTATTAAGTAACCGGCTCACAAAGATCCAACGGGTAGCTTAAGGCAGCAAATCCAGAACCTCTCCTAACCAGTAACACCTGAGCCACCCAAAAAGCCTCAGGTGAACTAATTTAACATCATGACCCCCTGGGGTGTGGGGTAGGGGTTGGTGGCGGGTGGCCGGGCCTGGAGGCGTTGTCACCATTTAAGCTGAAAGCAGACCCCACCGTCTGGCCTCCTTGCCAGAAAGCAAAGCTCTTGCCAGGCCAGCCCTGAGCTGGGGGGCCCAGCAATCTGCAAGGCTTTATCTATTCAGTAAAGCGACGCTCTTTAATCCAGTCTTGCCCCCTGGAAGCCGGTGGGAAGCAACAAAGATGAGGAAAAGTCACCCCGCGCCCTGTCCCGCACGTTGCACTGTATACATATTTAAAATAGCCTGCAAAGTTTCAGGACCAGAACTTGAGCTCCCTCTAGGAGATACTAGCCCGAGCGCGGATTTAATTCTCCAACCACCACAACAAAGAACAGAGTTTGAGAGCGCACAAAGGCAGGCGAAGGGGGTAGAAGAGAGCCGGACCGCCACACAAAGGCCGAGAAGACCTCAGCTCGCACGCTCCTGGCCCTCCACTCGCTTCCAGACCCTTTTTTTAATCCCCAAACACAGAAAATGGGTCGTTTCAAACTGCGCGCTGTGCAGAGCACCGCAGGACGCCAGGATGCTTTCTGGGCCGTCCCAGAGACGGGGAAACTTGGCTGAGGACCTGGACCTGAGCGGTGTCCGCTCATCCGCCCATCTCGGGACTCACCGTTACACCACTGGAATGGGTGCATCAATGAAGTCAAGGTCGGCTTCCCGGAGCGAACGGAGATGGGGTGTTGAGACCTGGCGGGGCTGTGCGCGGCGATCGCCGGGCTGGAAGATGCAACTCCCGGAGGAGTCAGGGGCTGCAGAGAGGCCGGTTTGCAGAGCAACAAAGACGGCAGAGGAGGAAACAAACAAAAGTCTTTCTGAGCGGAGCCCTGCCGAGGGGAATCGCGGAGGGCCCTGGACCGGGTGGGCAGCGGAGTGGGCCGGGAAGTCCGGCGGAGGAGACAGCAGCCGGGGCACGAAGCCGGGCTGGGGGGGGTCCCACCGCGCCTAGCAGTGCGCGCTGGGATTCCGAAAACTGACACCGCGAGGCGCACACCCCCTCCCTTTGACTGCCCCCTCCCGGGAGCCCGCCCCCTGTTCGTCACCTGCCCTCCGGCCAATGGGAGCCTTTCTCCTGCCCCCCGTGTATTATTTACAGGCGGTTCCCCCCCTCTGGAAAGGGGAGCCTTTTTGCTGGGTAAGCTTCTACCCCCGCCTCCTAACCAGACCTGGGGAGTCCCTGGTCTGCAGAGAAGCGTGAGGGGCGACGCCCGCAGGGGGCGGGGACCACCGCCTCCCAGGACGGGGACGGGGAGTGGGGGTGGGGGAGTAGGGTAAGGGGAACGACCCGACGATTAGTGCCACTTTTGTTTTCCGCATACAGATCCGTGCCTGTCTCGAATTTCTATAGCTGTGTGGCAGCCAGTCCTGAAGCGTTGTGCGTGGCAACCAACTAGCGCATTCCCAGACCCACTGCGAAAGGAGGGAACTCAAGACAAGAAGGCAAAGCAGAGGAAACTCAAAACCGGATCTTCAAAGGGCTCTTGTTCTCACCTCACTTCAGGACAGCGCCTTCTCCGCCAAACAGGGATTTAAGGCCTAAAGCTGAAGATCATCACTTGCCAGGGTTCCAATCTCCCAGATTGTGACTAAAATCCAGAAGCTGGCTTTGTCAATGCAGGGGTCTTGTGTCGGTGTTGGACGAACAGCGAAAGACAGCCACAGTTCTCTGTGCAGTATTACTTATTTTGCATGACATTCCATCGTTTATTTCATTTTTTTTTAATAGAAATTTATTTAGTCCCGACTGGCCTCCAACTCAGAGAAATCTGCCCTCCTCTGCTTCCTGATTGCTTGGATTACAGGCGTATGCTACCACACCCAACTGGTTTATTTCTGTTTTTGTGTATCTTTCCACTTAAAGAAAGTATTACCATCAAGTGTACAGTATCATTCAAAGTACCTTGGTACAGGAGGAGCCACATCCAGGGTCAGAGGCAGTGTGTGCTGAGACCCACAAATAAGCGAACAAAATGTCCTGCTCTTCGTGTGACACTTTTTATCCCTCTATTGATCTGTCCATTGGAACCCAGTACTTTCCCTAACTCTGGGGAGTTCCTGGCACCTAAGTAAGCTAATGCATGTGAGTGCTTTGCCATTTCAAAGTATAGTCGTTAAAGTATCAAATGTCTTGCCCAGCACCACAGAGCTGCTGGAACAAAGGCAGTCTTCATATCTCTGGGGATGGTCAGATGGTCTCCAAATTCAGAAGGCCCTTGTGGGCAGCGACATGGTGTTTGCAAGTAGGACACCCTTAAGGTTAGAACATCTTTCCCTCCTAATATTTGCATAATTTGACAATGTGGAGGGTTCACTGTAGTTTACCAACTGCTTCCTTATCAGAGCTAGTCTGGGGGGTTGTGTCCCATGCAGATCGAATTGCCTTCTCTGTTTTTTGTTTTGCCTTTTTTTTTTTGTTTGTTTTTGTTTTTTCGAGACAGGGTTTCTCCGTGTAGTTTTGGTGCCTGTCCTGAATCTCACTCTGTAGACCAGGCTGGCCTTGAACTCACAGGGATCCACCTGCCTTTGCCTCCTGAGTACTGGGATTAAAGATGTGCAGCACCACCACCCAGCCTTTTGTTTGTTAGTTTTGAGACAGTGTTTTAAGAATGTAGGTCTGGGTGAGCTGGAACTTACTGTATATGACTAGACAGGCCTGGAAATCAAAGAGATCATCGGCCTGCCTCTGCCTCCTGCATACTGGGATTAAAGACGTCTCAGGAATGACACATTTCCTCTGGGTTCTTAATGAGATCACTGCAAAGACTTCCTAATGGCCTCTCTGATCCTCCTCTATGCCTCTGACGTCAGAGTCACAGGAATCACGCTAATGGCAGACATGTGACATCTACCGACACCCAAGCTTGAGCCCAGAGATTCTGTTTGAAAAATGTGCTCCAGAAATCCTTCTGATAGGCCTTGTTTCCTGTAACAATCCTGCAGTTGTTGAGAGAAATAGTACTCTGATTTGATAGTGACCCAGGGTTATTTTTCTGATTATTTCCTTTGCTTAATAACTTTTCTCCTTCCACTGTTTGAGTTCTGGGGCTCAAATTCAGTGTGAGAGGCTTGGTAGCAAGTGCCTTGAGTCATACCCACTGAGCCATCTCAATACCTTTGTGTGTGTGTGTGTGTGTGTGTGTGTGTGTGTGTGTGTGTGTGTGTGTGTGTGTTAGTTAAGGTTACATAAGCCCGGGTTGGCCTCCAAATCTCTTTCTGCCACACCCTCCAGCTGGCGTGGACCTTGCTCTGTAAACCAGGATAGCCCTGAACTCACAGAGATTCTGCCTCCTGAGTTGGTATTAAAAGTGGGGGCCACCTCATCTGTATAGGTTAAACTGTTGTGACACCTACCATTTTGGTGGCGGATATTGGTAATGGGGGAGGTTGTGCATGCGTTGAGACAGGAAGAAGATGGGAATTTTCTGATGCTTCCTGTCCATTTTGCTGTGACCTAAAACTACAAAGAAAAAAAAAACCCCTTAATTCTGATTGAAAATCAAATTCCAAGTGTGCACAATGTGTATTAGATAGATGGCAGTTTCTACTCATGGGTTCCAAGTCAGGTGTGATAGGTGATCCTGCTTTCTTAAGGATGTCAGCTAGGTGCCTCTGGCACAAAGTTGTGAAAGAGGAAGAGCCTTTGAAGAGGAAAGTGACAGGAAGGGAGAAGGTCCTTCCCTACCCATTCCCCTCAGGCTAAAAAGAGCCGCCTCTCCGTGGGAAAACACCTAGAAGGCCAGGCCAATGGAGGTACTCATGCAGATAACTTGCCTAGCTGAGCCGGGAATATCCCAGGTTATCCTCACAGGAAGTCTGCCACAGTGGGTACCACGTGGTCTGTAATTTATACTTCTGTGCATGCCATTTCAGCTCCCAGTAAATTCTCCCGAGGTGAGTTGCTACCCTTATCTTTCCTGACACTGTGGCTACAGTTCAGGGCCTCAGATGATGGCTGGCAGTGGGCGCAGCAGATTGGAGAAGGGTTGGCCTTGGGCATTTTAATAATTTGGCTCATCAGAAGTCAATCTGTACCCAGACAGCAACTGGTTTCTAACGAAAGTACCAAGAACAGCGGAGAAGAGACAGTCAATAAACGGTGTCGGAAGAATGAAAATAGATCCCTCCTTATCATCAAACCCCCAAAGCAACCTCAAAGTGAATCCAAGATCTGGATATTAACCCTGAAATCCAAAGCTGGAGGTGGTCGCTCACACTTCCAATCCTAGCACCATCTGGGAGGCGGAGGTGGGAAAACCACTGTGCCGGGCCAGCCTGGGCTGCTGGGTGGGACCCCTGTCACCAAACAAAACCCAAATAACAACAGAACAAAAAACAAACAACAACAACACACAACACAAATTCTGAAACTAGAATGTGACTGCAAGAAGGCTGGGGAGGGGTTGGGGATTTAGCTCAGTGGTAGAGCGCTTGTCTAGCAAACCCAAGGCTCTGGGTTCGGTCCTCAGCTCCTGGAAAAAAAAAAAAAAGGCTGGGGACATACTTCAAGACATTGGTTTAGGTAGTGCAGCTTTAGATAAAACCCCAAAGGCACAGGCCACAAAAGCAAAAACACACCCATGGATTCTATAAAAAGATGACGCTTTGACGCAGCAAAGGAAATAATATATTTAAAAGACAGTGCAGCATAGTGGCACATACCTTTAATCCCAACATTCATGAGGCAGAAGCAGACAAATCCCTGAGTTCAAGGCCAGCCTGGTCTACAGAACAAGTTCCAGGATATCCAGGGCTACACAGAGAAACCCTGTTTTGAAAAACCAACCAACCGCACGGTGATGACACACGCCTTTAATCCCAGCACTCAGGAGGCAGAGGCAGGTGGATCTCTGTGAGTTCCAGGCCAGCCTAATCCACAACACGAGTTCCAGGACAGCCAGAGCTACACAGTGAAACCCTGTCTCAAAACAAACAAACAGGTTGGGGATTTAGCTCAGTGGTAGAGCGCTTGCCTAGCAAGCACAAGGCCCTGGGTTCGATCCTCAGCTCAAAAAACAAAACAAAACAAAAAAACAAACAAACAAAAAAAACAAACAGTAAAAGAAAAATCAAACAAACAAAAATGTCTAATTCTTGGCCGCTCTGGTTCTTGGGTCATTTGCTCTGAGGGTGAGTCACTACCGTGCCATAAAGACACTTAACCCGTGGAGAAGCCACATGGTGAGGAGCTAGGTTTGGCTCTCTGACACCGGAGAGAGAGCTTGAGAGTGGATGTTGTTGGCTGTTGTGGTGACCACAGCGCTGGCTGCCACCTCCTGAGAGATCCTGAGGCAGACAGCAGAGACTTGCTCTGCAGAATGACCCACGGAAATCACGAGACAATAACAGGTACTTGGATTTGAATTATTAATTTGCTTATTTTTGAGACAGGGTCTTACAATGCAGCCACGGCCTCGGCTTTGCAAAACTTTGCCTGCACCGGCTTCCTGATCATTGGGATCGGCTTCCCCATCATTGGGATCTGCTTCTCCAGGCAGCTCCATGAAGCAAAGCAGATCCCATGTCTGGGCCTTCAGTCAAGTCTTGTTGTAGTAGATGTTTGCCAGTCATATGTCCTGTGTTACGGCCCAAGGGAAAGGAACCCAAGAGGGAAGGGCCAGCCTTTTCCTTGGAAGAAACAGAGCCCTGCTTCCGTTCTCCTTCTGCCGGTGAGAACTTTGTCCCATGGTTACATTTCTCTGCAAGATTATGTGGAGCATCATCTGTAACTGGGCATTGATGTATGTGGCTAAACTCAGGGCGATTTTGTTAATGTGAGGAAGATGGGGTGCCAAATGGGGTGACAGATGCTAGCGGGGGTCCTGACAGTACTCCCACTGTGGGGCGTTTTCCCAACCACCCCCACAGTTCCCCAGAGTTTTCTTGAGTGCGAACAGCAGGAAATATTAGATAGAAGGATTTATTGCGGAGAATATCTTGGAGATAAACAGATAGAAAAT